TGCATCGCTCTTCCAAGGCCAAATCCGTGGTGCACCCGAGGGCTTTCTAAACTTAGGGGTCAGGGAGCCAGGGGTCCTTACACTCGGGATCCTACCTATAGTCTCCATTGTAGTTCTTTTTTTTGGGTTACCTTTGGGGATCCTTAATATAGATTTTGTTAAACCAAAACACGGAACTACAATGGAGACTATAGGTACTATTCGGGTCTGTTCCCGGGCCCCTCTATCTATACATCGCCCAGATACTCCAGCTGGATGGGTGGCCCCACTCATCGCACCGATCATCAAAGAGCCGCTGACAGATGGTGAGGTATCTCCTCAGCATAGACTTGCTTTTGGGCTTCAAGGCTTCCGAGGTATAGGGGTGCAGCATGCCCTTTCAGCCTCTCACTTGTCTCCGAGAAGCCTAAACCCCAACCCGGCACACCAGTTCTGCACAATCTGTGGTCGAGCTCTGCGCGGTTTTTTCGGAGATTGATGTCACTACATCGCACGGGCACTCAGTCGCAGGCTCTTCACGTATGGGGTATGGTTGGCCGCGTGTTAGCCAAGTATTTGTGTTACCTGAGCGTACGGCGTACTGTTCCTGCTGGAGTGCATGCAGGAACAGGTCTTGTCGTTTGTGGCGCAGGATGGTCGTGAAGCCATATTTCAGCCATCGTGCGATGCACCGAACACTTGTCCATAGTGTTCGCCCTGGAGGCGATCACCCAGAACACGCCAGACGGCCTACTGCCGAGCAAAAGCAAGTGCTCTGAACCCGAAGTACACTAGGAAACTCCCGGAAGCCGGAGATGCTCCTTACTCCAAAAGCACTGAATGACCACCACGACAACGATGAAGGCACGAGCAAATCCTAGACTTCAAATCTCCGCTTCAATTGCCCAGTCGCTCACCCACGTATTTCTGCTCCATCCAAGAAGCTCCACCTCGTCTTGAGCATCTGTATAGGAGCAAGAATACTACGAATTGGGGAGTAGGGTTTAGGGGATTTTCAGGAGCCAATGGTAAGGCGGTCGGCATGCACAATCGACTATCCCGATGGATTCTATGCGGGGCCTGCTTGAAGCGGTTTGGTATGACATCTGGAAAAAGCAAACGGCATCTTTAAGCCGCTGCGTTCTGACCTTCCATGCGACGACACATTCGGGCAGCGAAAGAGAGAGTCAGAGAGGGAGGAGAGAGAGACCGAGAGAGAGAGAGAGAGAGAGAGAGAGAGAGAGAGAAAGAGAGAGAGAAAGAGAGCGAGCACGTGAGCGCACGGCGGGACTTTCAAACCAACAACCTTGCTTGCCTCCCTCTGCTCCTCCCTTCCTTTGTGTCTCTGCATTGTGCACCCATCGCTCGCTCGCTCACTACACCAAGCAACAAAGGGAACAACGGGTTAACAGCTGCTTGCTAAGCGAGATTCTGATCTGGTGCCATTCCTCCAGCCCCCGAGACATCTGATAGAAGACATCGTCGTCCGCGACGAAATGCTTGCAAACCTCATGGCTGAATGATTCATGACCGAGGCCACAGTACAGCTCGGGCCTTACACCGGGGTTTCTGCGATTTCCTTACAAGAAAAAGCTGCTTCCTGCCGCTCTTGGGGTGTACGGGCACCATTTCCTGCTCACCCCGAAATTCGAAGCCCTGAACGAAAGGCTCCAGGGCTTCGGCGTCAGTGTGACGCCTGAAAGGTCAGAAGCTCCAGCCAGCACAGGCTGGAGGGGTTTAGGGTTTACGCTCTCGCGTTTAGGGGTTGAGTGTTTACAGGGCTGAAGGGTTTATCAGGAAGTGCTGAAGAAATTCGTGTTCTGCTGGCCAAAGGTGCGGTTTGGCTCAGAGCAGATAAGTTCCGTTCGTTGAGTGAGGTTTGCGATGCCGCTACATCCAGTTTCACACACAGGGCCCTAGCTGAAATCGAAACTCCAAAACTCCAAGCTTGAAGCACTGAAGCCCCCAACCCAAGGCGCTAAAGCCCTAATGCCTAGGCCCAATCTTGACTCTTCACTGACCTTGAAGGTTAAACCCCACAGCTGCAAAGCCCTAAAGGATATGTTCCGAGCCCCTGCACCAATCGCTCTAGAGCCCCTCAGGCTAAACGTCGTAGCCCTAACCCTTTAGGCCCTAAACCCTATAAACTCCAAGCCCTAGTTTCAGTAACATAGGCACCTTCATAAGGTTTACTGGGGGTTGTGGGAGGACTACGACAGAAAGAGCCTAAACCGCCATTCAGATACCCCTTGTTAAGCTTAACCCCGAGACCTACAAGCCCTAACCTTTAAGCTGTTTTCTTAAGCCGTGAACCCTAAACTATAGAGCCTAATCTCTAAAGACACAAGACTCCACTCACTATACTCTAAAATTCTAAAGGCCCGAAAACTACTCAGCTCTAGAATTCTTAAAGCCCGAAAACTCCTCAACTCTAGAATTCTTAAAGCCCGAAAACTTCTCAACTCTGAAAGTCTACAGGCCCGGAAACTCCTCAACTCTAGAATTCTTAAAGCCCGAAAAC